TGTGTGTGTGTGTGTGTGTGTGTGTGTGTGTGTGTGTGTGTGTTTGTGTGTCGGGGTTTACAACCGAGGGTGTTTGAACAAAGACGGTTGAGTCAACAGGATGTGATAGGAAGTTCAGACAGTAATGGATGAAATTATACATTTCTGGGAAGTCTTTCCACACACTCATCAAAAAAAAAAAAAAAAACTTTCGCAACAAGTCCTTTATAAAACAGAAAAATTATATCAGTAAATTTACAAGGTTTTAAATTCCAAATCAAACAAATCATAAACTCAATTCAATAAATTACTAATTGAGTTTTTACCGAAAAGAAAGCTGTTTTTGTTTGTAAGGCTCATCGCAGTACTAACATTTAAAAAGCTCTGTGGGACAGTTATAGCTTTGAGAAATTACGACATAAAGCTTAAAGTAATGGAGCTACATGGTGCATTTAACAATACTGACACTTTTTATTTAAAAAGTCTTTGCATTGTCATCAAGTTTTAAGCAGCTTCAAAAATGTACATTTAATAAAATAAAGGTAAAATAAATAAATGATCATCCACCTGATATCTGCAGCCTGAACGTACTGGTTTCATAACTACGTTGATTTAAAACACTGAAGTAATATAAAAAGTAAACATTGCTTGAATACTAGTAAATACTGTATGAACATGCTTAGAAGCTTTTACAAGGTTGGAATGCTGCTGTCAAGTATGTAGACTAGAAAGGCCAGTGAAGGTGACAAACCTTTGAGAGGCCTAGCGCTAGGCTAAAACAACTTATTGCGGAGCGTCACAACAATGTTTACACAGCACCCTCTCCTCTGTTTAAGAGCTCGCTCTTCCTCCTCTGTCTCTGGAAATAGTGTGCTTTTGATCTTACGTTCAAAGGTACTCATTGCCTGATATAAACATAAGCATAAGTAAATTTAGTATCCAAAGTGTGGATGGCTGTGGCTGAGTTATTAGGGGGGTCGTCCTCCAATGAGAGAGTTGGTAGTTCTATTCCACCGCTATTCGGTCACATGTTGGAGTGTCCCTGGGCAAGACACTGAACCCTCACATCCTCTGATGTGTTTCCCATCAGTGTATGAAAGTGATCTAAAGCACTGATTGGTCTCTAGAGAATGATCTATCTAGATTAGCTGTGTGGATGGCTAAATGAGGGCACAGATTGTAATGTAAAGCACTTTGAGCATYCTGGTTRGATAGAAAGGTGCCACTAAGTACAGTCCATTTACCATTTAGCATTGTTATTACAGGTAGACCTCAGTGCTGAACCCAGAAGTTAAAGCCAAAATGGGACCAGCTTCCCTGTTAGATGTTTCCAGTACAAGTTTTAATTCCCACCCCCTCATAACACCATGATTGTGTGCTGGGGAGTGAGTGGGATTTAAATCCTCACAACACTAGAATGCAGACGCTGGTTCCTAAAATACAAGGTCGCTTCTGTAAAATGGTTCCTGCTGGGTTGAACTYCCAACAATGAGAGAAGAGGGGGATAGTTGGTCTCTGTAAAATACACCGCTTGACCAAAAAAAAAAGGTCACACGCTCTGATATTTTGTTGAACAGCCGTTAGCTTTGATTACGGCACACATGTGGGATTGTTATTTCCATCCAGTGTTGCATTATTTTTTTCACCAAGATCTTTCATTGATGATGGTAAGAGTCTGACCTTCTCCAGCACATCCCAAAGATTCTCAATGGACTCCATGTGTGAAAATGAAAATTCCAGCCCCAAGAATACTGGCATTGTCATCTTGGAATATGGCCRTACCATCAGGGAAGAAACAATCCATTGATGGAATAACCTGGTCATTCAGTATATTCAGGTAGTCAGCTGASCTCATTCTTTGAGCACAAACTGTTGCTGAACCTA